ATTGGCAGAAATGGAATATAATATAGGCATAAAGGTATGTTTTCATTAGTGTATAATCACCTGAAAATAAGAATTGTTGTGTTTTTTGTTACCTTAGAATGGGTCCATTTTATCTATAGAGGGAGACTGTGTCCTCCTCTACATAGTCAGCCATGTTGAACCACCATGTTTCTACAGTAGCCCAGAAAGGACAAACCAAACACTGGCTCTAGAAGGGTCTTTTTTGCGTTTTTGGGTGGCAAGGGGTATTCAGTTGGTTGCAATCTGCTACTTCACCACTAGCCAATAAATCCTACACACCGGTCCTTTAAATGATGCTTTTTGTTTTATATCTTCAGCCACAATGACTGAATAGACATTTATGCGAAACAACACTGTTATTGCTGGTGGAAACATAAACGCTCTAATAAACAATATTTTTACATTTACAGAGGATGAAATGTGTGTAATGTGAGACAGGTTGATTGCAGTGACGAACCCACAGAGAATTATCACCCAACTTGGCAGTTTGCCTCAGCTTTATGGAGCATTTTAGTGTCTCAGCTCATTGATTGGGTTTTTAGGCTCCCTCAAACTCATTTAACAGCCACAGCAGGCAGCGTTTTCTCAGCTCTGATAATGGTATGCCACCTTCCCAGCACCAAATAGCAGACAGATGAAGTTAATCGAACTGTAGCTACAGAAACATAGCTGGAGAGGCAAAAGCCAGATTCTGTCCTTAGAACTGGCAAGAAGCAGACAACACCTTGGAAACAGTCTCACCCTTAAGATCCATTTAGTAGCTGTTCTGGAGCTTTTGGCTGATTTATAAACTTTAAAATTAAAATTGTAGAGATCATTATACTGACATGATCTCTACGTCTGTCTCTATGCTTTCTGACGCTCTTTCATTCTCTGTCTCAGAGGGCAGCAACAGCAGCCACGAGTCTCGGATCGGGCTGGTCGGAGGTGTGGAGAGGGAGAAGAGGACAGTGGTTCCTCTGGCTGTCGTCTCCACTCTCACCATCCTCTGTCTCCTGGTACTTGTGGGCATACTCATCTACTGGAGGTACTCTCGCACACACACACACAAACTAGGTCAGTATCTGCGTGGATGAGTTTCACCTGTGCACTCGATTTTCATTTGTTTGTGTCTCAGAAATTGTTTCCAGGCGGCTAATTTCTACCCAGATGACGGTGCATCACCTAAAGTCATATCAGCTCCATCTACACCCCTGCTGCTGGCCACAGGTAACACACACACACACAGGAATTAATTACACTATCAGTGTGAGATCAAACACAACTGTGCCAAGAAGCATGCAGTTAAATGTTCACTGTCTGGTTGCAGATGGTCACGAGCCGCTGACAGTGAAGCAGTTTGTGAAGCATGTCATGGAGCTGCACACCACCAACACCTTCTCCAAGGATTTTGAGGTGCGTGGATTGTTCATAATTAGAATCTTTTTTTATGAGGGGAACGTAAACAGCCACAAGATATTTTGAAAGAATCCTCCAATAAAAAAATAGTAGAAATAGCTTTGGTTCATGTGTATAAGTAGACAGTACCTCATTGCTCTTTAATGCTCTTCCATATCTCTATTAACATCATGTTCTTTAGGGATATCCTGCAGCACAGTGATAATGTGTAACTTCCATGTACAACATGTTGTGCAACAGTATGCAGGAAGGGTGTTCGGTACTAACCATGGCAGTGCTACTTGGTTCTCAGCCCTGACTTCAGGATAGGACAGGAGAGGATTTCATAGGCAGGTTTTGATCGATTAAAAACTTCCTATTGCAAGCTTTCAGGCTGGTAAAGTCTTAATCTTCGTGTTTTAGAAATGTCTCATGTGGAGTATTGACATATCTGAATGTTGTTTTGTAGAACAGCTTGTGTTTCAACAATAGGTACATCTGCATGACATTAGTCACCTCTGTTTCCTAGCATGAACCTCCTGAGTAACACACACAGATAGGATTAATTCAAGTATACTTCTTCCATGTAAGTGTATTTGTGTGTTTTCTCCCATTTTGTTATATGGTTTTGGGTTTTTCTGTAGCTGCAGCAACAAACCAACATTTTATATCAATCTAAAAAAAAAAAGAGGCTAAACTGAAGGAGCAGATCAGAGCTTGGACTTGTAGATACACACAAGCCTTTTTAGCTATACGGTGCCTTAATATTTCACAGATTAGAACGAGAGGACATGGCTAACATGGTTAAAAGCTAACAGCTCGGTTGGGAATATTAGTCTATTTCCCACTTAGCACCGCCCTCTCTGTGTGTATCTGAACCCCATATTCCTGTACCTGCACTGACTCCCTGTCTGTCTGTCTGTCTGTCTGTCTGTCTGTCTGTCTGTCTGTCATCTTGCCCCCTGCCCCTCCTCCTCCCACTCTCCTTTCACCACCTCCACCACCATCGTTGTGCTTTCTGCATCCTCACCACCCTCCATTAGATTGTCAAAGAATCCTATGAGGTAAGACACCTACAGTATGACCCCTCTGCAGTTGCAGAGATTGACCCTCTGTTGACAAACCAGTAGTGTGTTTGTAGACTGCGTCAGATGTATGTCAGATGCGACATTGAATGTAAAGTTGGTGAATAATTAAAGTTAATTTATTTGCTAGTAATGAATAGGCATTTGGATATAAATGTGTACAAATGAGAGTTTTAGTTAGCTTCTTCAGATTTGAGCTAGTTTTGAAGCTGATTCTCAGACATATTTTGAAACAGAGATGGAGCCAAGGACCCTTCTGAGTAGCATTTTTTATTTATAGTAATGAAATAAAAATTAAAACTGCCTTTGTAATAATTCTCTGTTTTTGTAAGACTGTTGTCCCACATTTTAATTGAATATGAGTCTTTAATACAGGTCACGTATACTTGCATCAGTTTTCTGCATAGATCACAAATTATGCCTTCTTCTCCTGTATATGAAGATGGATTTAGCACATGTGTGGACTTTACTTAATGAACCAGGGATTATTGTAACCCTAATGTGTGCTATTCTTTGTCTTTGTCCCACGAAATCCTTATTTTTTCCTCCATACACAAATCTTAATTCTGGTTATAGCTTCATTCATGTGCTTATGTTTTCACTCCAGACTCTTGACCATTGTATTATAATAATATAGACAGCTACACACCAATAAAAGATTAAAAAAGATAGCAACCTGTTTGTCCAGAAGGAAAACAGCCACATCTCATGCTCACTCTATCTTCCTCTGAGCGAATAACCCAAATCTTAATTGTGTTTTCTATTGTTTTTTAGGAGGTGCAGGCGTGCACGGTGGACATGGGCATCACTGCCGACAACTCCAATCACCCTGACAACAAAAGCAAGAACCGATACATCAACATACTGGCCTGTACGTCACTGTTCAGTACGATCACTGTTCAACATTTAATTGTAAAAGCCAGCAGTGGTGAAACTGATGAACCTTTTCCTCTCATCAGATGACCACAGTAGAGTCAAGCTCTCCAGCAGTTTGGACAGAGATGGGAAATGCGGGGACTACATTAACGCTAACTTTGTAGACGTAAGTGTGTTTTCCACCAAAATAAACTGTAATTACACTGTGTTTTCTTTGACTAAATAGTGGTTTCCTCTGCAGGGTTATGAGCGAACGAGGGCGTACATCGCAGCTCAAGGGCCTCTCAGAGCGGGCAGGGAAGACTTCTGGAGGATGATCTGGCAGCAGAATGTTGGCGTTATTGTCATGATCACCAACCTCAAGGAGAAAGGACGGGTAGGAGGTCACTCTGCTTCAACCAGTCTGACACAAACGGCACCTGAGATCAGTAAAAAAAACCTGAATATATATTTGTATTATATAACACATCTGGAAATCTTTAGTGTTCATCTTTCATCTGGAAGGAATGTAATGTAGCCTTCTTCCTTTATGTAATCTAAAACAAGGCGCTGATGCACATTTAGGTGAATGTTACTTGTTACTTGAAACAACTTGAAAATTGTGATGGCCGAGTAAGACATTACCATTATGTTTATTATGTGCTATAAAATTTAAATACTATAAGCAACAATATATATATAATTTGAGCCATTGTTCATAAAAATATTGATTACAGCAGCTTTATGTTTTTTAATGTTTGGGCAGACCCTTTCTTATAATCAAGTGATGCATTATTTTGATATTGCTACCTTGATGATTTTGGATCGATTATGTCAGCTACAATACTCATTTCTTATAAATTCTGACATGCTGAACAGACAATAAGTATTTTGTGTTTTTTACAGACCGAGGGATGTGTTCATTCTCTCACACATCTCTGCTGGTCATCGTCTTGTTTCATTTTGGCATCTTTCCACAGACAAAATGTGACCAGTACTGGCCGGAGGAGAACCAGGAGGAATACGGTCCATACCAGGTGTCCCTGAAGAGCAGCAAGACCCTCGCTTACTACACACTGCGGACGTTCACTGTCAGAGACACCACCAATAAGGTACTTCACACACACACACACACACACACACACACCACACACTCACACACAGGCTTTGTAAAGCTCTTTAGATACATGTCTTCTCAAATAGTGCCCACACAAAATCACACACATAATAACACCCCTTCTGCTCCTCCAGGTTTCTCAGAGGAGAGTTGAACACACTGTCCTCCATTACCACTACACCCAGTGGCCAGACATGGGCGTCCCAGAATACACTCTGCCTGTCCTGTCCTTCATCAGAGCATCCTCCCGGGCACGGACACAGGAGATGGGACCCGTACTGGTACACTGCAGGTACACTGTGTGTGTGTGTGTGAGATGTCAGATATACCATATGCCATGAGTACATGTATTTATGTGTGTCACAGCGCCGGCGTAGGAAGGACAGGAACCTACATAGTGATAGACAGCATGCTGCAGCAGATCCAGGATCAGGGTACGGTGAACGTTCTCGGGTTCCTAAAACATGTACGGACGCAGAGGAACTTCCTGGTCCAGACGGAGGTAAGCGGACAGACACACACCCACTGATGTCCATCCTTATTGGGAACAGACTGTCTCACCACCTGTCTCTCTCCTATAGGAGCAGTACGTGTTCATCCACGATGCTCTGGTGGAGGCCATCTTGAGCCGTGACACCTCGGTGACCTCAGACCTCCTCCACACTTATGTGTCCGACCTCCTGACCCCCGGGGCGTCGGGCAGGACCCGCATGGACAAACAGTTCAAGGTCTAGCATGTTGTCTTTATAAACCTCTGATTTGGGGTCATTATCCTGCAAGTGCACACTGAATGTAGCGAATCTTTTTGTGGCGTTTCAGTTGATCAGTCAGCGGCAGGCGAAGCACGCAGACTACAGCACGGCCCTGAGAGACGGCAATGCTGAGAGGAACAGAGCCAGAGCTCTGATGCCTGGTAAGCAGGGCCGGTTCACAAGATCTTCAAAGGCTTTAAGCTCATTACCTGATCTTGAGGCTCTGAAAGAGAGCACCAGAAGTAAAAATCGACTTTTAAGACCTTTATTCTTTACAATTCATTGATTCATTCATTGAGCCTTTTTTTTTCCACAGTGGAAAGATCAAGAGTGTGTCTGACCGCTTCAGAAACAAACGCCACGGGGTACATCAACGCCTCCTACGTCATGGTGAGACAACTGGAGATTGTTACCATTTTATTAAAGTTTTTTTTTTTTTACTGTTTTTAATACGTGAACAAAACATTCGCTGGTAGTTTGACGCTGCTCGTGCTCTCTCAGGGACACCACCACAGTAAGGAGTTCATAGTGAGCCAGACTCCTCTGAGCAGCACGGTGGCAGATTTCTGGAGAATGATCTGGGAACACAACACGCACACTGCTGTCTGTCTGCCAGACACACACTGTCAGGTACAACACACACACACACCAACACATACTGTGTATGGTACGTGACTGTATATAAACACACCCACTCACATGTTTTCCTGTTTATGTTAGAGTAAGGAGGGCGAGTCTTGTGTTTACTGGCCCAGAAAAGACCAGCCAATGAGCTTTGAGGGTTTCACTGTGTCGTACTCGGGCGAGGAGCATGTATGTCTGTCCAATGACGAGAGGCTTTTGGTGCAGGACTTCACAATGGAGTCTCCACAGGTATCTCACCAAACACACACACACACACACACACACATTGAAGCACCATCTTTCTCACTCACGTCACTCCCTCCTTTCTGTTTTTCTTTGTCTAGAACAATTATGTGTTGGAGGTGCGCCAGTACAGCGCCACCTGCTGGCCCAACCCAGACAGCCCAATCAGGAACAGTTTTGATTTGGTCAACACAGTCAGAGAGCACAGCAGACACTCAGACGGACCCACGGTCATACACGACCCGTGAGTACAACACAGACAGGTTCATTCATTCATTTGACATTTTGTTCTTTCTTTGCAAGGGTAAATGTATGTGTGTGTGTGTGTGTGTGTGTGTGTGTGTGTTTGTGTAGGTTGGG